CAAATTATAAACGTCCATGCATATTGATTGATCTGATAATGAAATCCATTGTGATGCAGGGTCCAACACATCTAGAGAATCATCGTTGCTATCTCATCACAGACGGTAACTTAGCCAAATGCGTCTCTCATGCTCCAAGAAAATTTATGTATTGTTTTCAATTTTTACATGCATTTATGAAAGTTTATGCTCTTATGTTAGAGTTTAATACCCCTTAATTTTTAAAATATTGATGGTACATATATAGTCAATGAATCATTTTAAACATTTCTTTCAAATACATTCATAAAAAAAATATCAAAATAAAACCATTTAAATATGGGTATAGAAGAAGAGAGTAACGATAATAGTTGGTTTTTTCAAAAATATAGAAAGAATAGACAAACATATTAATTAGAAAAATCTTATTATATAAATTCGAATGGTAAGTTCGTGTCTCTAGAGAGACAATAAATTAGACAGACGTATCTCTCATGCTTCAAGAGGATAAAACTCCTACAAGGAGCTCTACGACTATTTTCATAGGACATTGCAAGATTTTATGCGATATATATATGACCCACTGCGGAAATATGATCCAAACAATTAGGGTTAAAGAGTGGAAACACCAGACAATCCACAGAAATAAAAGACAAAATATATTATTCTATTTCTTCAAAATCTTATTTCAAATCCGAGCAATAAAACATATCAATTGGAAGTCCATCGATCAAGTTGTTATATGAATTTACATAATGTGAATATCTTATGTTTCTTTCAATGATTATGTGTATGCTCCAAATTTAGTCATTTACAATAAGGTGTCGCAATCCTAAAATCAAAGAATACGATGGCGTAATGCTACATAACAAAACTCAAAATTTACGTGTTTGTATTGGGATTTAGAGTTCGATGCTAAGCTTAACGGTTTAGAAAAATAAGTAATTTTGCCAAAATCAAAAATAATAATAAGTAATTGATTTGGTGATGAATGTAAAAGCTTACCAAAATGCTATTTTTTTGTTATTATTATCCCGCGCAGGGCGCGGATACCTGCCTAGTCT